GGCATTTTAATTTTTGAAATCAAAATTACTGAAAATGGCAGATTGTATGAAAAAGTGTCAAGAAAACTTTTGGTTAGCATTTAAATTTCCTATCAAACTACTTCCAGTTCAAAACGATCGAATAAAAATAATTTAAATATTAAGACTTTTAGTTGTAAATTGAAGAAAACCTGGCTAGCTTAGCCTCATTACGACTATATTCACAACTAAAAATCGTGATATATCAGTCATTTCTCTTAAGTTTTTTTTTTTTTTTTTAACTTGGTATCGTTTGATAGGGAATTTTAAATGTTAAACAGAAGTGTCCTTGACACTTTTTCATAAAATGTTCAATTTTCAATAATTTTGTATTTAAAAATTAAAAGAACGCCATTTTAAATTTTTGAATTGGACTAAGGTAAATTTTTACCTAAAATTAGCATATTCTACCTTTACAAACATAGCAAGTTTCATAAAGTTCAGTCAAAATAATCCAAAGATAAAAATGTTTATAAAAATTACAAAACAGTGGATATCTGAATGAAACTATGTTCTTCTTATTTTGGCACAAGGGATCAATTTGTAAATTTTGTTCATACCCTTTTTGAGCACGCTGTTTGTATAAATGTGTGTCCGTTAGGAAAAATTATCCGATTTTGATGACATTTGGTACAAACGTGTAAACCTACGTTTCTTTGAACAAGTTCGCGAACCAGCGTGATCGGACCATGGGAACGGGGTTTTAGGCGGGATTTAAGGGGTAAAAATTGGGGTTTCTTATGTTTAAACCTCAAAACATGACATTCTCCAATTTATCTTTAAACAATTCTAAGATCTTGAAAACAAACAAAAATAATTTAGTATATTGAAGTGAATTTGTACGGTTATAGGTTACGGAGAAAGATCATTTTTTTAGTATTCCCATGTTATTCTTACGGAGAACACATAAAATGTTATAGTTTGCTTGTTTATGAATATATTTTAAGAAACTTGGCAAATGTATTTATTTTAAACTTTACTACTATTATATAAATAAAAAACTTGCTTTATTACTCTCCCTGTAGCAGCAAACCCAGGTACTCATGAAGTCTAATGTTATTGAAATAGATTTAAGCTACTTGTTTAGGAGTTACGGCTTGTTGCACTTTAAAAAACTCCCGCCACAGCAAACCTGCAGACTAAGCGAATTTCCATTTGTCTGAATTGATTTTCGGTTAAATATATTTTAATAACATTAGGTTTAACGAGTACCTAGGTTTGCTGCTACAAGGAAACTAATAAAGTGTGTTTTTGAGTAAAATATTGATAGCTTAGTACAAAATAAATAAATTTGCCAAGTTTGATCAAAATATATCCATAAACAAGCAAACTACAGTACAACATTTGACAATATTCTCCATAAGAATAACATGGGAATTTTAAATTTACAATTTTTTTAATTTTCTCCGTTACTAATAACCGAACAAAAATACTTTTAAATACTAAATTATTTTTTTAAGCTCTTTAGAATGGTCTAAAGAGAAATTGGGAAATTTTGTGTTTTGAGGGTCAAAAGTGAGAAAACCCAATTTTTCCCCGTAAAACCCCCGTAAAGCCCCGTTCCCATGGTCCGATGATGCTGGTTCGCGAACTCATTCAAGTTTATCCCGCTTTACACCTTTAAACCAATTTCATCAAAATCGGGCAAAAATTACTCAAGTTATCGCGTTCACGGACGTATATATATATATATATATATATATACATATATAAAAATTTGAACGAATGGTGTTTTTGGCCTCTGGGGACATCAAAATGAAAAAGTAAATCGGTCCCGGGTCTAGGTCTTACCGTGCCACCTACGGTAATAGCTACTTCCCTATAGGGAAATTCGCTAAAAATGATTAAAAGGAGTGACGTTGAAACCCCTTTTGTGTTACTTCTGGAGAGCTACAGTGCTCGTGCTCATTATGAATCTCCAACTCATAAAACTGTTAAAAGCTTAAAGGAAAATAAAAAATAAGTTCCATTTAAAATAGCTTCTGGTAGCGTCGAACACTAGGTGTTAGGCCAAGGGCGGAATAGCTCTTGGATCTGCGTATATTGCGAAACGATAGGTCGAGGGCGGAATAGCTCTTGGGTCCACGTATATTGTGAAACGTTAGGTTGAGGGCGGAATAGCCCGGTAATCGGGCCAGTGGTGAAACAACTCTGGTAAAGTCGAACACTAGGTGTTAGTCCAAGGGCGGAATAGTCCTTGGATCCGTATACATCGGGAAACCTTAGGTCGAGGGCAGAATAGCCCAGTAACTAGCCAGTGGTGAAATAACTCTGTCATTATCGAATATTAGGTGTTAGGCCAGGGCGCCTGTGGACCGGTGACAATCGATTCGGTTTATTTTAAGCATTGTTGGTTTTAATTCTAAGGCCCCTATTACACGAGGTAGCCTGGCGACGTCGCCAGCTACTGCCGCTGGCGACGCACTGGCCACCAAACCTATAACCAGTTGAGTAGCCAGAATTTTACCGCCGTGGCGCCGTTGTTGTGAGTGCTTGTCTTGCACTTGTACTTGTTATGAGCGGTGTTTACAGTGAATAATGAGTGATTATAAGTATCTTCTCCTTCTGTTACTTCTGAAGAAAAGGAGGCAAAGGAAGAGAAAAATGTACGTTCATCCAATGCTTAGTGCAAGAGAATCAAAAGGGTTATATTACACCCTTTTTGATGAGCTCTGTGCGGACAATAAAAAATGTTTCAATTATTTTCGTATGTCACAATCCAGTTTCTTCGAGTCATAAAGGATGATATAGACATTTTATCAACTGAAGTGAACAATTCACACACTCACAACACAACAGAACGCAACACAACAGTGTGCAAGTACCCCCGTGATATGAACTAACCGAGTGGCGACGTGATACTGGCGACCTAGTGTAATAAGCTCCATATGCTACAACGCAGCGTCGCCAATATGGGTAGCCAGTGGCTACCACAGTGGCGACGGGGCTCGGTAGCCAGTCGGTCGCCAAAGTGTGGCTGCGTCGCTGGCTACCCTCGTGTAATAACATCCATAAGAATCAATGCCCCATGACAAGCTGAGTAGCCAGTTTGGTCGCTGGCGACGTCGCCAGGCTACCTCGTGTAATAGGGGCCTAAAAGTGAAACACGGTACATCCATTAAGTAGAGATTTGTTTTATTTTTGAAGTTAACAATTGTTAGTTGTTTTCGTAGAGTGGAAATGAAAACCGGGCTAAGTGCCAAAAAATAAAAAAATGAGTTAAGTGTCAAAATGTGTGCTATCTGCCAAGCCCAATACATTAAAAAGCGGGTTATCTGCAAAACAATAGCTTTAAGACGTTTAAACAGTGGCCGCTAGAATGCGCATGGGTCAACTTCATCAGCTGAGGAAATGAAAACCGGGCTATGTGCCAAGCGTCTTTACAACCCATTTTGAGGCTATATGCAATGTTCCGGGAGTGTTGTTAGAGGTGTACACGTGAGTTTATACAATGGGTGATACAGAGTTAGTAGAAGTTAATCCTAAGAAGAGACGTCCTAAAAAAAACATTCAGTGAATTGGAGCCATGTAAAAAATAAAAGTTTTAAAGAAAATGTGCAGCTAGAGGCTCTGAAACACCTACCACAGTCCTTGTATGCTATAAACAAAATGAAAAAAGAGAAGTAAGATGACCTTAAGAATATGATACCATTTCTGAAGGAAGAATTTGTAAACAATTTTACCGAGAGTTAACTGTTTAATTTTTAGACCTAAAACCAACACATTTGTCGTTTACCCTTTTATGTTTTTTTACGGGTTTTATGATGTTTTATGTTAGTAAAACTTGATTTCAATATTATTTTGTTTGATTTTTATTTTACCAGTCTGAAATGTTAAAATATTTAGAATCTTTTATGTTTACTAACTCTGCACATACCCCGTTTTATGGTTTTGAAGTATAGGTACTTAGCTCGCTTTTCACCACTATGATTATGGACATACCCCTTGTCTCAAATGTGTAACTTTATAAATTTATAAATTCTATTAGTGACATTTAAAAAGAGTTGTTTCATCAAATTATGATTACTCATCTTTTGTTGTAGCTACTGTAAATAATCTGGTATAAAAAAATTTACAGTAATGGTTTTATTGATATTTTTTTGCAATAACTCAAAAAGATGTTTTTGGCACTTAATCCGGTTTTCATTTCCACTCTACTAGTTAGTTACGACCAGTCATTCACGAAATTAACACCAATTATTTAAAATTTGCTAATTTGTTTAAATTAAAGCTTAACCCGGGCAGTGATGAATGTGTCATGTACTGAAAGCTGATGCTTTAACGACCACATCTGAGCCCATATTTTAAAAATAAATACTATTATTATTACTACTAACCCTGGGCATACTCAATTAGATTTGCTATCCGAGGCCGACAGTACAATTTTGTTCCAGGACGAAATTGCACCGTCACAGGTTATTGAAGTATAATATACTTAGAGCATTTATTTCTTTAGGAGTTTATGTATTAGTTATTTGTACAACTAGTGAGAAAAGTGAGCAACTGACTCACTCGAGAGAAATCCTTACTCACGAGCCGTAGGCGAGTGAGGAATGGTTTCTCGAGTGAGGCAATTGTACTTTGAACTCGAGTTGCACATTATACTTTTCCTACAGTTACCATAAAACAAATAAATTGGTGAAGAAACATAACCTATTTTTACACAGAAGTGAACTTTTAATACAACATTTAATGTGAAGTGACAAATGCAACAGTACAACAGCTGACCAGCTGATTTACAGCCAGTGCTGCCAACGTATTTCGCGCGCATACGACGTTGCCTGCATGTTACGCGCTCACTATTTCGTGCCTTCACGTTGCAAATCTGGAGTGAGACAAAGTAATTAGAGTGAGCGAATTGGCCACTTTGCTTTCTCAAATCAGTGAGAGAACATGTACATTGTTAGGTAACTGTAAAATTAATTGTAGGGTTCACATTAAAATTGTCCAATACTAACACAAACAAGGTTGGTGATATTTACCTTTTTGGAAAACAAAAATGCAGTGTTCATAATAAATGTCCTGTTTCATGAGGCGGAGATGTTTCATAGATTCTTCCGTTATATAATCACCAACTGCAAAATGACCTAAAACCATACAAAAAAATAAGTTGAAAAATGCAGGTTACACAGAAAGCTGATCCATTAACCTGAGTGAAATAAACGGTATCTGCAATCTGACACATGGTAATTTTTTATCCCTTTAGCTTGTCAACAATATATGGGTGGGAGTAACAGTGATATTTTATGGGTAAATCACAAAGCTTGCAATTACCACTTTGCTCAGAGTTAAAAGGACTATAACACTTAACATAGTAGTTTTAATCAAAACTGTTTAAGCCGGTTTTGTAAAAATCCACTTTTTCTGATATTTTATGGGTTTTTATAGGAAAATCCACATAAAAAAATCAAAATTTCAAAACATGAAAAAGTTTATGGAGATGCCATGGATTAGTGGAATTTGCTTTAAACACTTGCTTTTTTTTAATGGAATCTTATTATTATTATTATTATTATTATTTTATGGCCAGCATTGGATTTGGTCAATATAATGGTCAGATTCTTTTTAAATTCTGTCTCTTCTTCTTGTCCGCCCAATACTTCTTCATTCTTTCCGACCGTTGTTTTCTTTCTTCTTCCGAAACCACTCTTCCTTGTCTCTGATTGTTTGCCTATTGGCAGGATGATATCTTTGTCTTTGAGTACTGCAAGCGCCTCTGACTTATTTTCCAAATCTTCTAATGATATTTTCAACCTTCTCATGTCCTCCTTAATCTCTGTAATCCACCTAAAGTCACTCTTGCTATTCCACAACTTGTCAATTATTTTCTTGCTTATTCTATTTTCCGGTGTCCTTAAAAGATGTCCAATGAATGAAATTCTTTTCTTTTTAATTATACTTGTCAGTGGCTCTATTTCCTTATATACAGTTTTATTTGAGGCCAGTCTCCAAACTCCATCTTTTTGATATTTTTTGTTTATACTCATGTTCTGATGATTCTTCTTTCTATTTTCAGTATTTTATCTATTGCTATAGTGTTGGTTGTTTTAAATATAGTTTCACTTGCATTTGTTATTTGGGGAAGTATGACTGCTTTGTAGTGTTTCAATTTTGTTGCTATTGATAGGCATTTTTTGTTGTATGTGTTTTTAGTAATATGTTGCATTCTAATCAATTTTTATTAATTATATTTTGCCATGATGGATTTTCTTTAAGATTGTATGTTATAACTTCACAAGTATTTGAAATTTTCTGCAATTTTTATGCAATGTTCTCCAATTTTGATTTTGTTAGCCAATGGTAGTTTTGTTAGCATTATTTCAGTTTTCTCAAAAGAAATTTTTAGACCTATGCTCTGAGCTATTTCCTGAAGTGATTTTATTTGTTGCTTGGTTTCTTGGATGTTATTAGCTAGAAGAGCCAGATCGTCAGCAAATCCTAAACAGTTTAACTTTATGTCATCTTTTTTTGTTCCAACAGTAATATTTTTTGGGTTTGTTTTAAGCCATTCCTGATTGGAGCTTATGAAATTTGGAGGTTATGAACCGCTCTGTTCATTTAATATTTTAAGCGTTGGAGTTTGTGAAATTTGGAGTTTATGAAACGCTCCCATTGCCGCCACTGCCGGATGTCGTCTGTGAACTGGTACGGTCTTCTCTAACTGTCTCGAGGTTTCTCGGTTGTTAAAGTTTTCTGAAAACCTGTTTTCTACTTCCAGGGAATCTTTCCTCATGGGGAAGGTTCCCCTTTTGTTTTAGAGGTCCCATGTCCCATGTTCTTCTTCGTCGTCATGTCAATATCTGCCTAGTGTTTCATCATCCACGGGGTCAACGACTCCATGAGAGGTCTGCTGCCACCATGGGACTATGCCTACCCTGCACTAATCTTCTGAAATAATTGGCTGATATTGGAACCACCCGACCACCTGTGCACCGCCAATGGAGGGCTACGCCAGCACGGCTGCTCTAGAAGACTAGACCTACCACAAACTCTGGCCTTCCCCGTGCTTTTGCTACTGATTGGCGTTCACCGCACCTTCGCCCATGGACCTAACTTCCAGCTGCCTGAAATTTTCGGCAAGGTTACCGGTCAGGTCAGTCCAGTCTAATCTTAAGGAAGTCACCGCTCAAGATCATTTGTGAAGAAATATGAGTTAGGTCTAAATTAAATATTTGTACTGTAATCTTTTTACCTGCATTAATTGATTTTTTTACTTCAAAATTGTATATATATAAAATGTTATTAAATTAAATAACATATAACTTATTCTGATTTAGCCCAATTTAAATTTTATTTAATTTATTTAATTCAATTTATTTCCATTTTTTATTTCTTTGTAACACCTCTTGAGTGAGGGTAAATAATTTATTTTGACCGTTGGCAGACTTATATGCGAGGCGACAACATTTAAAACTATATTTAATCTGTGATATTTGTAATTCCTGTGTTTGTTAATGTATGTTATTTATGTAGGTGATTTATTTATCATATAGATAAATAGGCAAGCATGTTTTGATCAAACCTTTTTTCTCAACTTGTGTGCATAGCAGGGAAAATCTAGGCATACTGTTAGAAAGATATTTTCCTGCAAATGTGCAGAATAATTTAGCCTATTTTAGTTTATAAAGGGATAAACTAAAATAGGCTCAAAAATAAGCACACAAAATGAATTTGAAATATGAAAAAAATTACCAAGGGCCTTTGGGTTTTCATGCTGGGGACGAAATAACAACGAAATATAACCAGAAAATCAAAACAAATTAAAGAAATTCCAATCACATGTTCTATTTACAGTGTGGTGTGAAAATAGAGAAGTCTGTACATTACATATTTTTGGTTGAGTTTTCGACCACTGGACGACCTCTAGTCTATATATTAATAGACAAGTGATTAATATGGGGTTAATTAATAATGATTTATGGATGAATGTACCTTTGGAATTATGTCGGAAGTAGTGAACGGAAATGAAGCGCCGCGGGGTCGAGTTGCGATGGTAGATGGTAGAATGTCCTCAAGACGAAGGCACAACACTTGACACTATCTTCTTACGTTGGTGTCTTGATCTTGATGTCGGAATAATGCACGTCCAAAGTCCATACAGTCCAAAATGAGCGCTCACAAGAAGTTTCTACGCGACCGCGGTAGACCGGAATGGGAGGATTCACTGCTAAAACTGACTTTACACTAGTTAAATACAATTAATTTAATTTAAAGAGGAAAAAATTTTATGAGTACTGTCTAAAGGGGCCACGGACTATTCCGAGTGGCAATAATAGAGAATTATAACTATAAGAAGGAAAGCTGCAATGGCAGAGAAAATTAATTATGTCAGAGTGACATGTGTTAGGTAAACCCGGCAACCAACAGACTGGGGCCAAGCGTCCCGATGCGACGCTAAAACTTCGCAAAAATATCCTTCCGCCAAGTTAACCAATGGGCGTTGTGCTGACCCCACTAGGTTCAATTGAAAACCCCTACTCTCTCTCGGCAAATACAAATGCATAAATTATAGACAGTACAAGAAATAAAAACATTTTCCTGAAAACTTACTTAACATACCGGCGGCTTTGAATCAATATGATTGATTCAACAATAGAAGAATAACACACAATTCCATAGAAAAAAGGCTTGCGTAAGTTGCCAATGTGAGAGTCTGTTATCTGGTATATTGGCGAGTTGCAGTTTCAATCTTTCGATCGGGCGTTGATCAGCAGAGTGAATAAGGTTGTGAAAAGCGTTTTTTTGCACCTACAAAATTAGTGGCACAGTCACTATAAATATCAGTGCAAAGACCTGTACGTGCTACAAAGCGTGTGAGAGCAGCGATGATAGAATCGGTAGACAAATCGGTTGCAATTTCAATGTGTATCGCCTTTGTTACTAGGCAAACGGAAATACATATATATGCCTTGATTTGTCGAATGGAGCGGATGAGGTTGTGGATTTTGATTGTGTATGGTCCGCCATAATCGATCCCGGTCGATGAAAATGGTCTACAGGGGGTCACTCTTGCCTTTGGTAAATCACCCATGAGAGGGAAGGTGTTCTTTGGTTTCTCCCTAAAACAAGTGAGGCATTGAAAAATGCGAGAGCGTACAATGCTGCGAGCGTACAATGCTGCGAGCGTAGAGTATCCAGACATGCTGGAGTTAGAGAGATAGCGTGAGTTGAACGCCAGAGTGTAAATGTTGTCGATGAATATTGTCAATGAATAAGTCCACGATGTGATGTTTCTTTGGCAAAATACAAGGGTGACGAACATCTTCAGTTACGTCATTTCATTTCATTTCATTTATTTGACGGACAAACCATTTCATACAGGATACAATTTGTGTTACAACTATTGAATTAAATTGAATTGATGAGTGATGACTAACAAACATGTATAAATAACAACAAAAGTGCATTAAGTAATAACGATAACAATAATAATAATAATAATAATAACAACAACGAAATAACAAAAACAATAACAATGATGTAACAATAAATACTAAGATAACAATAAAGAGCAACGAGAACAACAAAACATAAAAAGCATTTAACAAATTAGTGAGAGATTAAATTAATGAGATAGGTCATCTTCTCTAATCAAGTGGAAGCGAGCTGATCAATCTCCTGAAACATGTGGTGTTACAGTTGAAGAAATCAATTTCAGGTGGCAGAGAGTTTCCCATGGCTTGTATGCGAGCGATGGCACTGTGCTGTTTGTAGAGCGTAGCATGATAAGACCTAGCAAACAGCTCCCTCGAACTGGTACCCCCTCCTGGGACGTGGAAGCTAATCCGCTCAAGCAACTCCGGACAGAGTATCTCTCCGTTGACCAGTCTATGTAGGAACATCAGATCGAATACTTTCCTTCTATACACCAGCGTACGAAGATCCAAGACAGCTGCCAAGGCGCACACTGGAACATCTGCGTAGCGGTATCCAAGACGAAGACCCACTAGGCGGATAAACCGAGTCTGTATTGACTGGAGTCTCTCCTGAAGATAGAGTTGGTAGGGGGACCACACTACTGAGCAGTATTCTAAATGTGATCTGACGAGGTGACAATAGAGGGTTTTCAGTGCCAATGGTGACGAAA